AGAAAATGTAAAAAGAATTTTAAAAAAATTAAACTTTAAATTTATTTAAAAAACAACTGAGGCACCTCCTTTCTCTTCCCACTGTGCCTTGTTCAACTCGCACCATCTCTTCTGCTGAGATCCAGCATTTTAAAGGGACGCAGGTCAATACCATAGCCCATTTCTGTGAAAAGGCAGATGTTCAGGGAGCAGTGGTGTCAGCTCTCCTTATGGTGTCACCTGGTGTGATCTGCACCCCGTATGCTCCCCTAATGATGCCCTTGATCAGGGTATAGGGTTCCCAAATCTATCTATCTATCTATCTATCTATCTGATTTGGGGTGGGCAAACTGTTGCCCTCAGGGTCATTTTTGTGAACCCCCAGGAGTAAAAAATGTTCACATGCCCCCTTATATACTTTATATTTTACTACTCCACTGTATTTAATGGGGCCTGAGCATCCACAGATTTTGATATTCACAGGGGTCATGGAACCAAACCCCAGCAGATACCAAGAGGCCACTGTACTTTGATGGGAGACCATCAATGAATCCCAGGTGCCATAGGCTATAGTTCACAGGAAGGGACTGGCAAATCCACTTCCGAGTATCCCTTGCCTAAGAAAACCCTATGAAATTCATGGGGTCACCGTAAGTCAACATAGGATTTGAAGTCACGCACACACAGGTCCCTAACAGGATGCTAGCAGACCCTCTCCCAAAACTCTGCATTGGAGGCTGAGTGATCAGGACTCATTCTAGGTCTCAGGGAGATATTTAACCCTGCAACGTAACCTTTATAGCAGTCAGTTCTGGGTTTGAACCTAGGGCTGCTCTACATGCAAAGCAGGATATTCTTGGAGGGTGAAGCTTGTGTAACCGGGTTTTATGCTAGCGCAAGAAGTTTTTAAGACACTTGCGTATAGAGGTATCTGGTACCTCTTTGCACAATGGTTTCCCTCAAGATGCACTAAAGCATCTGTTTGGCTGCTGAGTGGAGCTGCATCCCCAACTCAAATGGCCACCAATTGACCATGAATGTGCCATGACAGATCCCTCCCGGTCCCCTGGAGACCTCTGCAGAGGTACTTGAGGAGAACTTTAGTCTCCACAAGCTTCAATGAGTGTCTGATCCAGAAATCTCTGCTGTACTGTAGAGCAAATAAATACAGTTGGCCCTCCACATTTGCTGGGGTTATGGGCACAGGACCTCTGTGAAAATGGAAAAATCACAAAACTGAGCTGAGAAAACACCTCTCTATGAATCTCTAGGTCCTTCGGTGCAACTCTGTGGTCAACAACAGTCAGAGGTTGACCTTAGAATTGCGCTGGAGGATCTACAAATGCCTAGGGAAGTGTTTTCTCTAGGAATCTCTAGGTCCTCCAGGATGACTCTATGGTCAACGTCCAGCAACGTCACGCTGGAGAAGCTAGAGATTCCAAGAGAGAATGTATCAATTAAATCCACGGATAATAAAATCTGCAAAAATCAAAGCCACAAATGAGGAGGGCTGGCTGTAAATCCCTTGAAAACTTGAGGCCAAGTCCTGAGATGGGAATCTGGCTGGTTGAAGTTCCTTGCTGGAGTCTTGGGGAACAGTGATCAAAAATTAAAACCAGTGGATTTTGGAAAAGCAAAACATTTCTTTGACAAACAGCCCGGACCTGTTTCTTAAAATTGCCTGGCCTGAGATTGTGTTGGACAGAGCAATAATTTAACATCTGATCAAGCTGGCAAGGATGAGGCGAGGGGAATGCGGAGGACGGGGGCGGAGGGGGGAAAAGGAGAACTGTACAGCTCCGTGAGATGCTCTGTTCATGGATGGAAAGGAATCCAAAGAGATTTATATGAAATTCCTCATGAGGTAATGCTTTATGAGAAGTTATGGGATTAATGAAGTGCTGAGATCTTGTTCTCAGTCTGTCCTTTTATTTATTTGTGACTCACCCTGGCCTCCTGTTTGTTATTGCAGATCTGAGGTCCTATCCAGATTCAACTCCTCGCTCTGCACCTTAAACTTACTCTTTCTCATCACCAAGTTTTCTTTTTGGTGGAATGTGTGTGTGGCGGGGGGGGGGGGGGGGGGGGGGGAGAGACCGATGTGTGTAAATATTTACACATCTTTGGAAGCCTTAGCAAGGCATTCTTTGCAAAATTGCTCTGCATCTCTGAGCCAAAATCTATGACTTGCGGCCACATGCTGAATGTTTGCCTAGTGCTGGACTGAAGGCGTTGTTATATACGCACACCTCTGAAAGCCAGAAGGACGCCTCCAGAAAAATGAAGGGGGGGGGGAGAAAAATCAATGCCGAGACCTCCAACAAAAATCAGTAGAGAACACAAATATTTGGAGCAAAGGTTTAGAGGCTGAAATGAGCACATGGGGAGAAACGGATGGCCTGGAGTTCAGATGTGGAATGCATGCTTTGTATGCGGATAGTCACAGGTAGGGCTAATGAAGAATCCTGCCTGAAACCCTAGAGAGCTTCTTCCAGACAGTGTTGACAATTTGGGGTTCGCCGAATGCACAGGATGAGATCGAAGGCTTGTTTAGTCTAACTTTCTGGTCACACAGTGGCCAACCAGCAAGGCAACAACAGAATAATGGTCTTAAAAAATAAAGTTACAGGATATAACTGGATAAAAAAGAAGGCAGGAATTCTTTTGGTGATTTTTGATGGCATAACCAGATGTTGTGCCAGAGTAACTATTTTTTCTGACCTTGCATAAGGTGGTATACAGTACCTCCTTACATGATGCTTTTGCCAGTTTGTGTAATGGTTGTTGGATAGTGCCGGGGATCTGCCCTCCAAATCCAAATGGGCTCTAATGTCCCAGAAGAGATCCCTCACCCTACCACCTGCCTTCCTCCTCTCTTTTCTCTGGCTTGCTTTGCTCCCATTTTTCATTGGCTTCATCTGGATTTGCCTTCCCAAACCTCTCTGCAGATATGCTGGTTGAACTTTACAGCTTTAGATAGGATCTTGGCCTAATTTGTTGTTGTTGTTGTTGTGTGCCTTCGAGTTATTTCCAACGTATGGCAACCCTAAGGTGACCCTATCTTGGGGTTTTCTTGACTTGTTTCTTCAGAAGGGGTTTGCCAATGCCATCCTCTGAGAGAGCGTGACTTGCCCAAGGTTACCCAGTGGGTTTACTTGGCAGAGCTGGGATTCGAACCCTGGTCTCCAGAGTCCTAGTCCAATGCACAAATCACTATACCACGTTGACTCTCTAATTTGTTACACCAATCCATTTTAAAATTTCAACTATCTGAAACAGTAATATTTTTTAAATTATTGAAGACCAACAGGGTTAATTAATGGGTAGTGATTCGGATGGATTTTAGGCCCTGTCTGCACAGCCCAAATAAAGCATCCTTGACCCATCACAAATCTGATTCTTATGGCAGAGACTCTCCATTCTGGACCCATTCCCTGCAATCGGACCCATTGTTTTCCATAGAGGCCTCGGATAGTATGCACATTAACAAAATATGGGAGGATTTGGTCCAGTCCAAGGGGCCAGGGACCATTAACAAGAACACAGATTCCAGATTCAGAAGTGGAGAGCTCCCTAAAGCTTAGGTGTGTCCAGTTTGGACCTCATTTAAAGGAAGAGGAAGGCAGAGGAGGAGGAGGAGGAGGGACGAAAGCATGTAAGTGAAATCAAGTGCCTTTTCCAATATGGGCCCCAGGATCACTGGGTCCCTGGTTTCTCTCTAAACCCCATGCCCATGCTTAAGGGAATAATTTATATTGCACTCTTTAGTCGCTCGCTTTTCCAGACACTTCCTCCTAGAATTAATGCACAGGGAAAGAAATAGGAGGAAGCTAATTGGAAAATAATAGCAGGATAAAGTGGAAGATTGTAGTCTAGTGAACCAATCCACCCACCTGGTTATTCTAAATGGTTCCCTCTGGTGCATGATGCAACCCTATCCATAAAAGAAGGCAATGGAGCACTCTCAGCATTATCTCCATCAACCTTTTAAGTGACCAAACATTTGTTTGAATCAACTGGATCCTAGAGGTGTCCCGTGTTGATCCTTTCTTCCCCTCTTTCCATTCATCTTTTCTTTTTTTTTCCCCTCCATCTTGCTTTCTTGTTCACCTTTCCACAAAGATCCAAGCCTGGGAAAGTAGTTGAGTGGCCCCAAAGCATTTCAGATACAAAGGATGCAACATAAATTCTGGCTTCTCAACCAAAGCCTAGCAATGTTCATTTTTTGGACTACAGCTCCCAGAATTTCCCAGCTGGAGGATTCTGATTGCTATTAGCTGCATTTACACTGCAGAATTAATGCTGTTTGACACTGCTTTAACTGCCATGGAATTTGGGGATTTGCAGTTTTGTGAGATATTTTGCCTTCTCTGTCAGAGAGTTCTGGTGCCATAAGAAACTATAAATCCCAGAATTCCACAGTACTGAGCCATGGCAGTTAAAG